GTCACCTCATCGCCAGCCGAGCTGCGGCGAACCTCGAAGCCCACCTTGCTGCCGCGCTCGAAGTCCGACACCTCAGCGATCAGCTCGAACGAAGCACCCGTCGAGTTCAGCACCTGCGACGAACCGTTCACCGACACGCTCGCTACCTGCTCGATCGCGTTCTCGTTACGGAGCAGCTGCAGGTCACTCAGCGGCTTAACGCCGAGCGTCTTAATGGTCTTGCTCTGCTTGGTCGTGCCGTCACCACACGACACGTCCTTCGAGTTGGACACGATCCAGTCACCCTTACCGACCAGGTGCACGTCGACGTCATAGATATCACGCACAATGGTGATACCTACCTCGCGGGGCACCGACAGGATACCGTCCCAGCCCTGTGGTTGTCCCGTGGTGAAGTTGTTGCCCTCGGTGATCCAGCCAAGAAGAACGTTCCTGTTCTCCCTGTCCGAGTAAATGATGTTGGCGTACCAGTCGCTACGGTCCGACACACCCACCATCAGAGGCGTGAATAGTCCCGCCTCAGGATCGACCTCCACGCCGCAGCCACCACCGGAGAACGAGCCCGTGGCCCACATCGGGTACCGGTTCGGATCACCCTCCGCGGCGAATAGCATCAAGTTGTGCACTTCACCATCCTCGTCCTCAATTTCACGGTACACCGTGGTCTCGAAATTGAAGCCCCAGTTCGCGCTGTAGGGAGAGAACGTCGTGTTCTTCTCCTGTGATAAAAGGTAGCCCTTGTACTCCCAGTTGACGTAGTCTTCCGCGTGGTACAGGAAAATGCGGGGGCCGACGTCGTGGATACCTCCAGCCACCAATAGATAGTTGCTGCCGTTGGAGGCGACGTAGCCGAAGTGAGTGTCCAATGCCTTCGAGTGAAAAACGTTGGGATCGCGCCAGCCAGTGACGTTTAGGCCCTCAGGTGGTAGCTCGATCAGAGGCTCACTACCCTTCTGCCAGGTCTTGCCATTGTCTTCCGTAGTGGCGTACACAACGTGCTCACCAAAAAGATACTTTTTGGTCCAATGGATGGGGAGTGCCGTGACACCCGTGTAGAACACTGTGCGCTTGCCACCGATGGCGTTGCCCATAGCACTTCCCGAGAACACGCCTAGGTAGTCCCACTTATCCTCGAACGGACGGAGAGCATTGGGGTAGTCCTCCCATGTCACTTGATCTTTCGACACGGCGTGTCCCCATGTTGCGTTGCCCCATACCGTCGAGTTGGGGTTGTACTGGTAAAAGAGGTGGTAGAGATCAGTCTCCTCGTCGTAGTACGGTCCGCAAGGGTCGTTGATCCAGTTGTCACGTCCCAAGAAATGGTAAACCGGGCGGAACTGCTTAAAAAGTTCGGTGCCGGGCTTGGCTGGAACGATATCGGCACGAGTAATCTGCGGGCTGACGACAAGCGCGCTCACGAATGCGGCGAAGATCACCACGCCCGGAATCATCTTCATTCCTGGTTGATGCTTGGACTTGGATCCTTCGGGGATGCGAAGAAAATTTAAGAATGAGCTGGACCAAGCAGAACGGCGTTCATGTATCATTGAAGAGCCAGTGTCTATCGTTGGGGCTCTTGGGACGTGCTTGTAATTGATGAAGGATTGGCCACAAGCATTGAGTATCTATTACTTAAGTACAGTATTATGCCGATAGCCATTCATAATGATTAACGTCATCATATATTTCGCCCAGAAAAACTGACAGGTAAATGCAAACTTCAAGGCTGTGTTAAGACAGAAGTTTATATTTTGAACTAGCAGTGTTGAGTTCAAATAACATCTCGGCAGTCGAAGAGAGGCTATTAATACATAATGTCTAATCGTATAAGAAACGGTAAGACAGTTGTTATAATAAATCAAGTGAGCCAAGGGCAAAATATGACCATCATTGATCACGTGTTTTCATCGGATAATTGAACAGCCCATATTCTTAAATTTAGGCTGTTTTAAAAATCTGCTTTAACGCGCGGCTTAATCGTGAGAAGGTAAACTAGGAAATCTCATCATATTTTACCAGGTATCGGTTGATGCGACTTCCGACACCTTCCCTTCTCTAAAAACGTGATAGGCGTCCTGTATCGGAGTTGCTTACGACCATGCCGAGGTCGTGGATGTTTACACTATGATCACCACCTCACCGAGGACTGCCAAGATGATGCATGCATTCGAATAAACTCACTACAGCACAATACACTTTCCTACTTGCTTTCTTTTAAATTAAAAAAGCTGTTGTCCTATTGAAAAAGGACAAGAGGTTCTTCTGTGCCAAGACAAGAATGCTGATCACGCGTATTTTTTACGATGTGATTTCTGAAAGCACGAACGAGATGAAGACAGTGGACTCCACCCAAAACTGCCGTAAGGAGGTATCATATGCAATCTCTAAATTCGTCTCTAAATAGAAAAGTTGCACAGGTACAAAATGTCAATGATTTCTGATGTATGTCAGAGATTATATTAGGGAGCTTGTTGAAGGGATGGTGACGGGTGATAGGTACCTCTCCTTACAAAACCAAAGATATAATCTATGTAGTTGTCCGTAGCTAGGGTGCAAAGTTGATTTTACCCAGAAGTTTATTGAGATCGGTTTTCTTCCTCACCAGACGGGCGGTGGGAATATGCCAGGTCTACCAACTCTCGAAGACCTTGACATATTGGCCTTTATAGCAGTTTTGGGTGGCGTCCAATTGCTTTAGCAATAAAGCATAAAAAACAATATTATGTTCTCAATATAATGTTTTTGAATAGTGTAGCATCAAACTAAAGCTACTGTCCATGTTAAAGTTTTGCAAATACAAATACGTTATCGGCATTTGCAGCCGAAGTTGTATTTCTGGGATTTACGGGTTTGATTGGCTAGATGGTCCGTATTTACCGGATTTGAGGCTGGTACCACGCATTAAATTGGGGTGCCGTTTATTGCTTAACTTCACAGACATGATAGCCTTTCTACCAAAACGCCCTCCGATTTATGGTCCTACGTAAGACCTTTGCCCCTACGTAGGGGCCCCGTAAAACCTACCCTGGGGGCGAGTAAAAGGCTCGTCTGTAACATAGAACGGCAGAGATGTGACAAATGATAGTAGCATTACGCTACTGTCAGCGTTAAAGCACCGTATTTAGACTTCCATGCTTAATACTGAAGAGATACCCACACAGCTCTCTACCTCTACTTCCATAGCATCTCATGCTGTAGTTACCTTCGATGCAGAGTG